AAAAAAAAAAAAAAAAAGCTTATTGGTGTTGGAGCAAACCTGACAGGCCTCAGTCCCACAGCACAATGCACCCCATGGTTTTAAAGCAGTGATGACTCAGTAAAAGTTGTTATTAAGGGAAATGAACTAGACTTTAGCATTAGTGCCAGTGTGTATCAGGTGCTATGTTAGATTCTCTTACTTCATCCTGCATGGAAGTTGACGGTGACTTCTTTTATCATTGAGGAAACTGAGGCTCGTTAGAATTAAATAATGCACCAAGGGCACCTGACTCAGTCCTAATGCATTCTTGATGCTAAAAGGAATAAACTTGAGTTATCTGGGAGATTTGCTGATGTGGGTTGTTGGATCACTCCGTAAGTATGCTGGCTCTGCCACACGCTTTTCCAGTGACGAGCCGACTGTGTTTTTCCCTCACGCTTGGCGTGTGGGGAGCTGATGACAAGTGCAGAGATTCATTTGGCATCTGTTCAATGTTGCCTAGGATCAGCAGCAGGCCCGCCAGTCCCAGCTTGCCCAGGACGAGCGTGTCTCCCGCTCTTATCTGGCCCTGGCAACAGAAACCGTGGACATGTTCCACATCCTCACCAAGCAGGTCCAGAAGCCGTTCCTCAGGCCCGTGAGTAGAAACCGCGTGGTGCTCGTTTTGTCTGTTGAATTCCACATTCAGACTCTGTCGCTTATACCTTCATACAGTTGTTGAAATCCTAGAAATTTTGCGTCACAGTCACTGATACGTGAAATTGTTACTGATTTTGTTCCCAGTTATGCTAATGGAGATACACAATACTCTGTTGATAGACTAAGTGAAGATGTCTCATGTCACATAGTCTGTGAAGGGTCACTTCCAAGATGACTTAATTCACTTTTTGCTTAGACGGTACATTGGATTATTCATGTTGAAGTTACGGCATATTTTTACCATTATTGATTCCTATATTTTAGTTATAGGAAAAGTATACAGTAACATCAGTTGGAAATTGCAATTAAGTAGGATAATTGATAATCTGTAAGATCTTTGGTTCTCTTAGATGTAGCTTTGTTAGACTCAAGAAGCCAGAGGCTAATGAGAGCCACAATTAGGGTTTATGGTAGATCAAAGGTAGTCGGAATGTTTGGTCTTGACATGATTGCTAAGACCTGGGTCCTGTTTCTGAAAGTGAAATTGAGCAGCAGAACTGAAGATCTCTGCTTTGCTTCTGCCACCCGCCACGGGCTGGAGTTTACGGTATGGCCAGGACAGGGTAGCGAGGAAGGCAAGAGAGGGACCTGAGATCGGTAGTTATTTGCCTACGTGGAGACAAACTTATTTTACAATGGAATATAGTTTTACTACATATTTCCTCCGATTTTCCGTATTCTCCCTTACCTGCATCACGTGATGCATGTGTCACCTCCAGCTGGGGCATTATTGCCACACCCTGGGCCGTGTGCAGCTCTGGGGGTGAGGCCCTTCCTGTCCTTCCCTTCCCGTCTCTCGTCATAAACAGACTACAGCGCAGGAGCAGTGGACTGTGAAACAAAACAGAGCTCACTGTTCAGACATTTGCTTCCCTTAAAGGTTCGCAAAATGGAATTGTTTTAAACTTTTTCTGTAAAGGCCAGATAGTAAATATTAATAGTTTGAAGGCATCATGGACCAATGGTCTCTTTTGCAACTACTCAGCTTTGCTGTTGAAGTTTGAAAGCCGTCACAAACAATACGTAAACAAATAGGCATGGCTATACTGCAGTAAAAGTTTATTTACAGAAGGAGGCACTGGGCTGGAATTGGCCCATAGATAATGTTATGCCCATCGCTGCTGTGACTCAACTCTTATTTTATGTTCAGTGACTCTAGTGGTGATACTATTTGATTGTTAGAAGGTAGACCAAACTATCATACAGCCTATTTTAGTTCTAAATTCTTCAATTTGTAACAGAAACTGTCGAAAGCTAAGCCTAGTATTTTCATGTCAATTAAAATTTTTAAGTCCTACTCATAGACCTGAGCCATCTGTACGCTGTGACCCTGTTCTTTTGCCCCCAGTCTTGTGCCAGTGCCTGCTCTGATGTTTCTACGTCCTTCGCTGTGCTGTTTTCACCTTCTTTCCTGGCTAGCTCAAAACTCTCC